ATTTTGGGAAACCCCCATGTAGAGCCAGGGATGCAACATGGGTTAAAAGACCTAGAAATCAAAGGAAAAATCCTTGGAAGCTTCGGTATGCCATGGACAGAGGAGACAGAATATGAGGGATGTGGAACAGGGGTCTCAGCAGTAATCAAAGAAAAAAATCTTGGAAGTTTGGGAGCGGACATTATACCATGGACGGAGGAGACAGAATATGAGGGAGGTGGAGCATTGCTCTCAGCAATCCTCTTTGCAGGCAGGGTGTGGCATGTTATGGTTGATCGATTCCAGTGCTTGGTGCCCAGATTCTTCATGTGATCGAAACTGCAAACATTAGGACAAGAATGCGAAACTCCACCGTCAAGCACAATCAAGCCTCCTAATCTCGAAAAGTCGTGGGGGTGCAGGTCTCCTGCAGTTTTCGTGAACGTACCAGAGCCTGATCCCCCACCTCAGAGGGGAACCCACTACACGCAGTGTGCAGTAAGCACTCTGCAACTGCCTAGGAACCGCATTGTCACAGCCACCATCAGAGTCATCAGCGTCGCGATCATCATCATCATCATCAGCATCAGCATCAGTATCAGCATCAGCGTCATCATCATCATCATCATCATCCTCATCATCAGCATCATCATCATCATCATCACGATCACTCTCACTGTCAGTACCTGTTCTTTCATGTCACATGCAGGCGGGGAACCTGTCCTGTATCTCCATCTCTTCACAGACCTGGAAGGCGGCAAGGGCAGGCATTGTGCAAGAACCCTTTAGAAAGCCGCAGCTATTGAGAAGTACCGCCCTTCCTGGCATACCCTGGACCGAAGAAACTTCCCCAAAAAACTGCACCCAGTAGGACGCTCTGAGGAAGCTTGAGGCTGCAGCGGGTGGAGCGGGGGATTAGTAGGGCTGCGTACGGGGACCTAGATGGTCTGTCTGCATGAAGGAGGTTGCAGGAAACACTGCAAAAAGTTGGTAAGGTTGAGGAACGCATTGGCAGGATTTCTAGTTGGCTGTAGGTTTTAAGCTCAGTCGTCAGGAGCATAGTTTTGATGTGTAAGTTGGGAAATCCAGTTTAGCTGTACAGGAAACCAAAGAGCCCTTGGGCCTTCTGTGTTTGTGCGGGTCTGCCACAGCCTTGGGCTACAGGGACGATTGTGAAATTCCGGTGCACGTGTGTCGCTGACTTGGCATATAATATGCCACATTTTCCATGTTTTTTGCATTATGCTTATATAAACCCCATATAATCCCGTATTCCCTACTAACAACCATTCAAGTTAGATGGATTGCAAGACCTGGCCTACAGGCCAAGCCCTTATGCGACTCCTCCCAAGTAGAGGAACCATTTTTATTGCAGCTAAAGCGACTTTGAGCAGAATACCTTTAACATGTCAGCTTAGCTCGGAAAGGGCCCGGCGCTGCATAAGACCGAGGCTGCAATAATTCTGATAATGCTGCATGCTGCAAGCATTAACATTCAAGGCCATCGTTGCAGCTGTTGTAGTAGCATGAGAGGCACTGGCACGTACACTGAACAGGAAGGTTGTAGGTCAGCTCCATCAGTTCCAGAGTTGTGTGTGTGGCCTGCATTCCATTGAAAGGGGGCCGCGTTTTTGTTGCAAGGCCCCTGCGCCGCGAGGCAGAAATCAGAAAGCATGGGGTTTCAGACCCCAAAAAGGGATTGTTACACTCAGGTTGGGATATGTCTGGCAGAAGTAGCCTGGCTCGCCGCACAATGTCCAAGCGAAAACAGCCTCCTCATCAACGCATTAGGCCACCTCAACTTTCGCACACACTGCAACGCTGGGAGGGGCAAATGAATGCAAGGAAGGATGCCAAACACATGGATGCAAATCAACGATGTCCTGCCTTCTTTAAAGCCTGCCTGCATGAACCAGTCATCGCTGCTTTAACACCAGGATTCCAATAGCTCCCAAAATCTTTTTTTCCCAGGAAGCATCCGTGAAGCATTCCCTAAACTTGTATGTCAAGCAGGCCCATGTGCGGGGCATCAAGGACAAAGCGGAGAGACAACGCGCCCTTGCGAAAATTCCGCAGGCAGGAAGACTTAGAAAGGAAGAAAGGAAGAGCGCTTACCATGCATTTCTTCGCCGGTACAAGACAGCTATATGGTAACTTCCCTGAATAGGGAGACCCCAATATAGATCCCCAAATTGTACAGTCCTTATTGTGGGGACGCCAGGAAGGTACCCCTAACTTTTCGGAAGCTCCCATACACTGTGTTTCCCATATTACAGATATTATAACCCCAATATATACCCTGACTCCAATATATACTTAGTATAATTAGGGCATTCAGCCTAGCTAGGTTTGGGGTGTTCTTCCTTGCCACAGCTTGCAAGGGCCATCTGGATTTGGGTTCAGGATGAAGCGTCACCAAAAGGTTCCTAAGCAAAAGCAAAAGATGCATCGCCCTAAACCCCTCAGCCCTAAATCCTAAGCCCCGTAAGATCTGAGAAGCTCTCTTCATGTCGGCTGGCCCTGTAGCAGGAGATTTTGCTTTAGGCCCCTCGATTCCTGGCTTTTAGTAGCGGCATAGCAGCGTTGTTGAGGCTAAATCTGGAAATCGACCAAACGTGTCATACTTCTGACCTGGCTTAGCTAGTTGAAGCTGCCCCTGTCGCCTACATGGCCTGCCGCCAGTTATTTATTGAAAGGTACACTCTGTAGAGCTTTGGGCGTCTGAAGCCGTAGTTCAAGGCCATCATTTAGGAGGACTCCCCACCCTGTAATGGTGACTATAAGGGATAATAAGGATTGTATTAGGGTCATTTGATATTCCCATTATACCACTATTGCAGGGTGGGGGATCCTCCTGAGTCATCATTGTGTGTCGGCTCAAACACTACAGATTCCCTCCTCCTGTTCCACACGCCCCTTCCTTTAAGACTAAATTTTCTCGCTGGCTAGCGCATCAAAGACCGGCAATAGCATCCGTTTTGGTTGGGTTTGTGGATGCTTCGGACATTGAGTCTGCTGTTGTCAGGCGACGCGGACAGCTCTAATCCAGCCCCTTGTCGGGAACTGCTGGTGTTTTCTCGAACCTACTGTTTGTTTGTAGGGAGCACAGGAATGGATCCCTGAAGCAATTTCCCCCCAAAATCCTGAGAGTAGTTCCTGTACTTGTGGTCGGTAGGGAATTAACAAGTATGGGGCCTACCCCTTGCTCATAAATTGCCTACCGACCACCTTGCCGCAAGTAAGCCAGCAGGTTTGCAGGGGTGAACTTAAGGCGCTAATGGTGCTCCCTGCCAAACATCGTACTGGGGTGCTTTTCGGAGACTCCCATTCCCCTAACACCCTGAAGCATCCAAAATATGGAAAGTGTCAGTAACGCCATAGTTGCCGCAACGTAGTAAAGACGTTGTTTGTTCACGGTTTGCTACTGTTCCGCCCGTCGTTGCTGAGCGTCAGGCGATAATCCACATACGCCTATGTACTGCAGTGTTTGAAAGCCGAGACGATTTTAAGCAGGCGGTTGCAGTTGCAGGCCATCATACATTTTTTTTACGACCCACACAGTGTAAATCCTGGGCCATTGCCAAAGCCTGTGTAATGCAGGCTCGGGTGTAGGGGACAAGGTTTATCCTGGATCTAGCTGGAGCCTTCCTGGCACCCCTGAAACTGAAAAGTCGCGGATCTTGTCAAAGGGAAGTCCCGTTTGCAAAGAAAATTGGCCAGAGGCCACCGATGCTGTCATGTGCTCTTTCTTTCCTTTTAGCTCTAAAGAAAGTCTCATATGAGCTAGTCTCAACTCCTGAAAGTGGGGTTAATATAGGGGATTATGTAGAAAAGTATTATCAGGTAAGGGGGATACTAGGAGCTTAGACCCTAAACCCTAAACACTAGTTTATAGGTGATCCTAGGAGGTTAGACCATGGCTCATATGGACGCTTGCTGCAACTGAGGTACATCAAGGCCAAGAAGGCGGCTGAGACATGATATGTGCGTTTCTCACTACGTGGGTCTTAGTGTTTTAGGCTTTAGGGTGTTAGGGTTTAGGGTTTTGGGGCTTAGGGCTTAGTGTGTAAAGGTTCAGAATTTAGGGTCTCCCTTATATGTTCCCAGAAAAGCAGGAGCCTTACTATGATGGCCCGCAAAGAAGCTGAGAAACCTCCAGATGCTCCGGAGCTCCTAGCCCAAACTCCTTTGGGATGCACACTGAGATCGCTCAATAGAGTTTTTTTTTTTTCGGTTTAGGGTTTAGGGTTTAGGGTTTAGGTAGTGCTTTAAAAGGAGCACAACCATCCCCAACATGAGAGTAAGCTTATGCTCTCCTTTCGGTGTAGAATCTTTCAGGAAGGATGAGTGCTATTACTACTATTATCTACTATTACTATTACTCATCATATCATAAGTCTTAGTAATACTATTTCAAGGCTTAACTTGGTTCAGCCACGAGATGAGAGGGCTTCACTTGATCAGGCGAAGCAATGGAATGGACTAGTCACTGGTACCTCCATGAGCCGGAATAGTTCTCAAAGGTTGAGATGTTTATTTCAAGATTCAGT